AGCAATAAAATAGAATCTTTCACCTATTGCATTTAAAAAATATATATATGAAAATGGAAGATAAGATTTTACTTTATTATGTACATTCCCAACAAAATGAGAAAGACATTTAATACAATAATTAATAAATTTTAATGTTCATTTGACAAAGAATAAAATTTTTCAATGTCCATTTTCTCAAGCCGTATATAAAAGACTTTCGAGTTAAAATGAGTTACAAATAAGCCAAGTTGAGAATTATTTCATTTCTTTCCAATCACTTGCAAAATACTTTTTTAAAACATTGTAAATATAAGTGTTTAGATTATTATTTATTGTAATTGTGCTTACACCAACAATAATAGTTTAAGGTTATTATTTTCCAAACTCATATTTGTATTGAGTATAAAAAGATATGTTGAAAAAAATACTTGAGTTGTGGCTTGAAAGGGAGGTGAAAAAATACTTAAGGTATTGCTTAAATAGATAAGTGATAAAAAAAAAATCAACTTGTTTGTGATGAAGAATAAAAATTTATTTCAATTTATATTTTAGTGAAAAATTTGTTGGTTTTCAAGGACTATATATAGTTTAGAGAGGTAAAATGATTTGAGATAAAATTTTGTGTGTTTTCTCCCTTATTTATCTTTTTAATTTCTTTTTCACCAGCGACAAAAAGGAATTTAAACTTCAAAGAAAACACTTTCAGTAGTTTGAATTATAAAACTTTATAAAATTTGATCATTATCCGATTGGATAATATAATAACATCATTGAAGTGTTGCTTAGTCTTTACGAAACTTACATATTTGTTGTCTTCAATTTGTTTGAAAATTATACTCCATCTAGTCCTTATTATAAGATACAATTTAAAAGAAAATGATATTTTTTATAAGATATTTTATAACTTTTTATAAATCATTATGTATTTATTATGTTTTGAAGATTGTGAGTATATGTGTTTCTTGTTGTTGAATAATGTTAAAAGAATTTGAGAAACAAATATTTTGTTTCTCACCTTGTAAACTCTACAATTATCATTTATCAATTTTATTGATATATAGTGGATAAATTTTGATATAAAATAATATCTTCACCTCTACCACAACAATTTAATAATAAATAAAATGGGTAAAATTGGTACCTTGGAATTTTAAACTAATAATATTGATTAAATTAATTATTTATATTAGTTTGTGTAATTATGTTAAAAGTATTTTACAATAAGAATTAGATGGAGTATTTGCGAAACAAAGTTTGAACACATAATTTAACCTCATTTTGTGCATAACTAAATGTGTGAATGTGTGGATCAACTAACATAAAAATATTTTAGGTTAAACTAATATAAAGTACAAGTCATAAATATGTAATTGAATTAAATATTTCTTAGATAAAAAATTTATCACTCATAATAGTCCTACTTGATTCTAGTAACTTCAACTATTAAAGAAAATGTATAGTCTTATTCAAAAGAAAAAAAAAAATCCTCCCATTTTATATATTCTTTGGCTTTACATATATTCTTAAATATTTGTAACTTCTTAAAAAAAATATCAAATCATTTTATTATGTTATAATCTAACATTTTATGTTTTATCTTATTAATTTTCATATATATATATATATATATGAATAACTTATTTTCTTATTAAAAATATATTTGTCTAATATATTGTATTAAGTTTAATAATTATATTTTTTTATTAAACTCAATAATATATAAAGTAATATATTCATATTTCAATCAAAATCTACCGTTCAACTTATGAGTGAACAAAAATAAATTAATCTAACATTTAAATTGCATTATATCCTTCTCTTGGAAGCTAATGCCGTTGAGGAGAACACCTCTTTGGATTAGCTTGGATGAACGACTTGCATGTAACACAATCCTTTATTGTAATACGCCGTCGTTCAATTTGATAATTATAATAATTATTTTAAAATTATCCTAAATATATTTTTAATTAATCTAAAATATTTTATACTAATACTACACACCCATTAAACTTATATTATAATTATGAATTTATAATGTAATGTTCATGTATGGTTCGGCTATTAAGTCAAAATATTCGTAACGTAACCCCTCCACCGTTGAACAACTTCAACAACTGACGTATGAAAGGGCATTCCTTTTTCCACACATTTTTCTTATTTTTATATTTTTTCCGCTTTTCAGATGAATATTAATTTTTTCCTAAAAAAAAGAAAAAACATGAAAATGATAAAAGGTCAACATTGCTGGTTGGCATAGAGGCGCTGTCGTTTTATTGCTGCCAGCCAAAGACGTTCCGCGTGGAAACGCAAGCACACTGCTACTTTTGATCCACATTTTTTTCAAGGTTGTTGGCAGAAAGCATAATCTTTAATATGGCAAAAAATACAAAAAAGAAAAACTGTATATTTATATTCTAAAGACAATAATTAATTAAATCAGATTAAAATATTTAATGAGTTTAATTTTAATATTTTTTTAATATAAATATTTTAAACATAATTGCTCTATATAACTTTTATAGTAATTAGTATAATAAAAAAGTTAACAAATTTTAATTATATATTAAATAATATAGTTGAATTTAATCCTTATTTAATAATATAAAAAAAATAATTATGCTTATTTGTAAGAGTTAAAATATTTCACCTAAAAAAATATTGTCTCAAAAGAATCCTCATGATATGCAAATGTACTTACACCCTCCGGATTGAATGAAGATAGCATGAAATAGATTGGAAAAAATTGACTTATAATCTTTTTTGCAACTTAATGTTTGAGTTTTGAGAGTTGTGTACTTTTCGGATCAAATGACCATTATATAATATTGATTAAGAAAAATTGACTTATAAGTCCCTTTACACCTATATACTCATACTTGAGTCTTGAGGAATATGTATCTTTTTATGTTTAAAATTAATTAGACTAATTTTGATTAGGCTTGAACAATTTAGAGGTCATTGAACTTGGTTATACCTGTTGGGATTCATCCGAAGTCCCACATCTGTAAAATGAAGGAACATTGGCTAGTTTATAAGGGTGTCCACCATTCCATATAGTATGAGGCCTTTTGGGAAGGAGCCCAAAAATAAAACCGTGTGAGCAACAGGTGGACTATCGGGTCCAACAATACCATATTCCATTGGGTTTAGTTGATTAAGAGGTCACCAAACTCATTTAGGTTTGGTCGATTAAAAAGTCAGTCACCTAGGTTGATTGCTGGGACGGGAATCTAAATTGTTGGCTTAATGAATAATAGTATTTTGGTAAGTAAGAACAAAGATAACCATGTCATGATTTTTGGGAATTATCATCAAGGAATTTGTGTTATTCATATGTCCAACATGAACATATAAATTGTGCCTAAGGTTATGATGTGTTATGTTACTTTGTTGAATATTCTAGACTTTAATCAACAAGTTTCTTTAAAGGAGATCCTTCATACCTTTTTTATACGACATATTATTATTAGTTGTAGATACACTTTATTTATATTCTAGATCATGGATTGATTTTAATTAATACCCATTACTTCTTTATAATTTATGGATGAAAGGACGAGGCATTTATATTTTATCGCCGATTTGACTATGTTAATCACATCACTTGGTTAAGACATATGTTTAGTCTAACTATATACAAGGTTAATCCTATACTTACATGTGCTATTAAATCCAAGTATAGTTTATCCTTTAGTCATTAACCAAGTTTAGGTGATTTATCTATATCAATACTTGATATTGAAAAATCTAATTATAATTTTAGTATGAACTCATTATATTACATCAAAACCAAAAATATTATAATAATTTAAGAGAGAAAAATATATTTCAGGCTAAAAACAACATTTTCTACCGTGAACAAGTGTATGTCTCAAATAGAATTGAATTCGATCACTTTAGAAAAGATCTCAAATTTAAATCTTATGAATAAAAGAAATTGATTAAAGAAAGAAATTTCATTAAAATTAATTTATCAAATTTAGTTATTAACAAAATTGTTAAATAGTCTAACCAACAATATAATTTAAAAAAAAGAAAAAAGAAATCCGACTTCTAAAATTGAAGTAATATATTGATAGAATACAAAATAGCCATCATCATGAGCATGAGGCAAGTTGAGTCAAAAGTTCATACAAGCTCCAAATTCTAATGATCACGAAGACTAGTTTTAGAGGGATAATAATAGTTAATTTTCCTTGATACTTACGGGGTGATTTCTTTTTGAGAAAGACATAATGAGTTGAAATAGAAGTTTCTTTTCGGTTTTAGCTCACGGCGGATACGTTTCTTATTTGTACTAGAAATATATATATATATATTTTTTTAAAAAGTATTAACTATGACCCAGCCAAAAGTACCAAACATCGTAGATCTCTTGTCCCCATCGAAGGGCCTAATAATTTATTTATTTTTTCAAAATATATTTTCTTTTAAATTGAATTAAAATAAATATCCAAATGTCAAAGACTCACGCAATTATCCAAGCGATGAGGGGTTGGTGTTGAATTCGACTACCTCTTCACCACTTTAATAATAATCTAATAAAAACATTATAACCCCAGTTTACCACCGAAATCCATGTCCATAAAAAAAAAAAATATAAATACTTAATTCACATTACTTTATTACACTAAAATAATTTTTAATTGAAAAAAATCCAAAACTTTTCCACTTCACAAAATGTCAATTCTATCTATATATTACTTTATAGTAAAAAAAATAGTCACGCAATAAAAGTGCGTAACTGATTTACCAAAAATCTATCTATATATTCGTGTAGGAATTTAATGAGATTCAGCAAAATAAATATTAAAAAAAGGGTATTTAGAATTATTATATTATTGAAATACACATGGCAAGTATAACGCTATTACTTTAAGCATGAGCACCGAACACAACAGCTACCTTGAACTTGAGGATATTCTCTCTAGAAAAGAAATTAGTAAGATACTACAAAATTGATAAGTATTATTAATTGCAAATTTATTATTACTTAATTCCAAAGGGCGTTTTTCTTTTTCTTTTTCTTTTCTGCACTGAACTCTTCTCTCTCTCTCTCTGTATTCTTTTTTTTTTTTCTCTCTTTTTTCTCCGCCGGAGAACCCACCGGCGGCACCGTGAGAAACTAAAAAAGCCGAGCATGGGGAACTGCAACACGTGCGTGAAATCTGACGTGGTGGAGAGCAAGAGGGACAAGAAGCCGAACCCGAACCCGAAAAAACCGAACCCGTTTTCGGAAGAAGCGGGTCGGTCCTCGGCGGCTCCGATCCGCGTTTTGAAGGACGTGATTCCAATGAGCCACCGGAGCCGCATAAGCGACAAGTACATATTGGGCCGGGAATTGGGCCGGGGCGAGTTCGGCATAACGTACCTGTGCACGGACCGGGAGACGAAGGAGGCGCTGGCGTGCAAGTCCATCTCCAAGCGGAAGCTGAGGACCGCCGTCGACGTGGAGGACGTGCGCCGCGAGGTGGCCATCATGTCCACCCTGCCGGAGCACCCCAACGTCGTCAAGCTCAAGGCGACCTACGAGGACAACGAGAACGTGCACCTCGTCATGGAGCTCTGCGAGGGCGGCGAGCTTTTCGACCGGATTGTCGCCAGGGGACACTACAGCGAGCGCGCCGCCGCCGGAGTGGCGCGCACCATCGCCGAGGTCGTTAGGATGTGCCACACCAATGGCGTCATGCATAGGGACCTCAAGCCGGAGAACTTTCTGTTCGCCAATAAGAAAGAGAATTCACCTCTCAAGGCCATTGATTTTGGTCTCTCCGTCTTCTTCAAGCCAGGTACTGTGTTTTTCTTTTGTTCCAATTAGGTCAAAGCAAACCAAACAGAACTTGTTAGTCTAGACTCGAGTGATGCTCCAAGAAGAACACGTGATGCTCCATGAATGATTTTCGTGGTATTAAAATAATATCTACACTTTACGAGGCGCTAGGGCAAATTAGTCCTTGATTTTTGGGGCTAGTTTAATTTGTTTTATTTTATTTTAGGGGAAAAATTTTCGGAGATTGTTGGGAGTCCTTACTATATGGCTCCGGAGGTTTTGAAGCGGAATTATGGACCAGAAGTTGATGTGTGGAGTGCTGGAGTGATTCTTTATATTTTGCTGTGTGGGGTTCCTCCGTTTTGGGCAGGTGGGTGTTGTTTTTATTTGTGTGAGTGGGTTTGTGGTTTTTGTTTGGGGTGTGTTTGATTTGATTTGAAGTGGGGTTTTGGTTTATGTGTGTTTTTTGGATGTGGTAGAGACCGAACAAGGTGTGGCGTTGGCGATCTTGAGGGGTGTGATTGACTTCAAGAGGGAACCTTGGCCGCAAATATCGGAGAGTGCTAAGAATCTTGTGAAGGGAATGTTGGAGCCGGATCCTAAAAAGCGCTTGACGGCTGAACAGGTGCTTGGTAAGTCATTCACTGTACTGTGCAGTCTAGTGTACTAGTGTCTACTCACTGGGTGGCAACATGTTGGATTTTGTAATGGAATTTTTGTTGTTGTTTTAGTTGTTTTTTCACTCTTGTACCACTAGAATATATTCATTGGAATTTGGTTAGTGCAGAAGTATGACAAGTGTGTTTCATATTTCACTTATTTCAGTATGTTTTGTAGGCTTTCAATAAATGAACTGACAGGTATTACTTTAGCTTTTGAACATTGGTATTGGTGTCAATAAGGATGGCTCATAAACGTTAATTTCCTTTTCTCTGCCAGATTCTTACATCGTTTAATAGGACTTAAAATGTGTGTGGGGAAATTTGTCAGCAGAAACCCTGTAAAATGAAGGTGGGATATAAGAAAAAAGTGAAAACCCTTAAAATCTCTTGTTATACATGGCTCTCTTCCGGCATAGGTAGCTATTATAGTGCTTAAGGAAATTTGTTCGTTGTGGTGGGATTAGTGGGTAATGTGTAGGATAGATTGTTAGGTGTGCTATGATTAGGGTCTGCTTGGTTGAGTAGGTGGGAAGTTTGGAAAAAAAAAACCGCTTCACACTTGCTTGGTATGACTATAATATGAGAAGGTGGAAATTAAAATATTCATTTTTCAAGGTCATAGCACCAATTTTAGTTGAAAATCATGTTCACCCAGTCGTATATTTTCCACATACCCACTTCCCACTAACTCAACCAGGCATGCCGTTTATTTATGGTTTATAGATGCTCCTATTTGTTGCTTCTTAGGCTAGCTAGCAAGCTCTAACTTTACACAAGATGGAATTCAACTATCCTTCATATGCTAAGTTGGATTCATTTTGTATTTGTTTCTGGGTTTAAAATGTGACATTGTTCATGTATTATGTTTAACAAGGCAAATAGGGGTGGGGGACAGTATAAGTTTTCACGTGTTTGAAGTTGAACAGTGGCATTTGTTATTATTACTATTGTTCTTATTCTTATCATTATTTTCATAAACACAGTGGTATTTCGTGGTCTATTTTGTGCTTAGAAGGTTTTGTTTTGATATCTAAATAGGGTATCTCATTACGTGGTCTTCAAAATTAAAAATGTTGCAACAGGTTGAAATAGCTTTGCATATCATGTAACTTTTTCATTGTTTTTAAACGAATATTTCTCATTCTCACCCAGATCATTTACCCTTTTCTCCCTTCTCATAAAGGAAAAGAATTGTTAAATTTTTTCATCCTTATGTTATGACATGGGTTAGGAGACTGGACTTTACATCAGGTCTATCTTATGAAGAAAGTCTTGTAATATTTACCATCTTTAATTATGTTTGCAGAACATCCCTGGCTGCAAAATGCAAAGAAAGCTCCAAATGTTCCATTAGGAGATATTGTGAGGTCAAGGCTTAGGCAGTTTTCTGTGATGAATAGATTCAAAAAGAGAGCTCTGCGGGTTAGCATCTGATGTGGTTTATGCTTGATTGCTGACTCAAATATTTGTGTGATTGAAATAGTAAGTTGAAAAGTTAGTGATTTAGGTTTCTTTGAATGAATGCTACAGGTAATTGCAGAGCATTTATCTGTTGAAGAGGTAGAAATAATCAAAGATATGTTTACATTGATGGATACTGACAAAGATGGCAGAGTAACTTATGAGGAACTGAAGGCTGGGTTGAGGAAGGTTGGTTCACAATTGGCTGAGCCAGAGATAAAGATGCTGATGGAAGTGGTAAACTTCTAACTTCTATGATTCTATACCATTTATAGTGGAATTACTTTGAATAATATTATTCTTTTATAATTACTGTGATGATGATTCAAGTCAATCCGATGGAGCTCTTTGGAAGCATTTTTCTGGACATCTGCTTCATATTTTATATAAGAGTATGCATTTTTATAACAAGTAGGGCAGAGTTATGCTGTAATTAGGAATTTTTTCTCTCCTATGTACTCCATCACCTTTTTTGTCTCTCTTGTGGAGATTGATTTAGGCATTTCTAGAGGCAAATGGCGCCAGTTTTTTTTTTCTTTCTACTTTTGTATAAAGCTGGTGGAACACTCTTACTTTTATTTGAAGCGAGATTCACATATCTAAAAGGCAAACAAAGTGAATTGTCATTCATACCCTAATCTTGGACTTGTCAAGTATATTTGTAACAAAAATTTGTGATTGAATAATGGCTTCCTTTATTTTGAATTACATAGGCTGATGTTGACGGAAATGGTGTACTTGACTATGGAGAGTTTGTAGCTGTTACAATTCACTTGCAAAAAATGGAGAATGATGAGCATTTCCACAAAGCATTCAAGTTTTTTGACAAAGATGGAAGTGGATATATTGAGTTAGGCGAGCTACAGGAAGCATTAGCAGATGAGTCAGGAGAAACTGATGCTGATGTATTGAATGACATCATGCGTGAAGTTGACACTGACAAGGTTTGATTATCGTGCTTGTTACTTATTTCTAGTTTTTCTTTATGCAAATTCTTACTGAGAGTTACTACACAACTATATAATGATTGATGTTCAGAGTAGTTATTTTTGCTAAGTGTGAAATTTCACTGGAAATTACAACTATTTGCTGTCTCTCATGTTACATCCCATTACCATCTCACATACACGTCCTGCTTGCTTCTCAACATGTCTTTTTGACGTTTTTCAATTTTCTGTTTTCACTTCACAGGATGGTCGCATCAGTTATGAGGAATTTGTGGCCATGATGAAAACTGGAACCGATTGGAGAAAAGCATCTAGGCAATATTCAAGGGAGAGATTCAAGAGTTTGAGCCTAAATTTGATGAAGGATGGCTCGCTTCAGCTTCATGATGGAATTACTGGTCAAGCTGTGGTGGTTTGAATGTAAACTGTAAAGTAATTTCTTTCTGTAACCTCATTCTCACTCGAACACTCATTTTTCTTGCACCACTTTTTGTGCTTGAAATATCGCTTGCGGAATCTCTCCATGAAACCAAGTTTTGGGCAGGTTTGAGTTTTAGTGTTTGAAGGTTCAAATGACCTTGAGTTGGAGTTGCTTAGCTTAGGTTTCTTAGTTGGATTGCATGTTAGATGCCTGAAGCTTGTGTTGGAGGATTTCAATTGCATACTAAAGATGGTTCATAGCTTAGCAAAAAGTGGAGAGCACATGCTATAGCTACATACCCGAAAAAGTTACACATTCTTTGTATATCTTTGTAATTGTCCTGTTGTATGTGTTTGATAATTCCATTGGTAAATGTGATTTTTCTAACTTGTGTGCAGAAAACCAGTTAGGACTTGTCTCATTGGATATGAACTTCTGAAAAAGTGTAGCTATCTTAAGCCCTCATTTTTTTTTTAATCTCCCAACCCTTGTTTAGATATTATCCCTTGTCCCCAGTTATTAAATTTGGTTAATGTACTTTAGTTATTAGCATAATCTGAAGCAGCCCTAAATTGTATATAGAGTCATATGTTTGTATCCACATATACTAGATTGCAAATCAAACTTGGGTGAAGTGTACGCAATCTCTCACTATATAGGCTATGTTTGAATATAAAATTTGTAATCTCAGTTAGTTGGTCTTGAACGTAGTGTTTATATGTTTGACAATTTTTTTTCTTCTTCTTTTCGTTGAGTGAAAATTACATGCAAACTTCAGTTAAAGTAAAAACTGAAAGGGTATTTTGTTTTTATCGGAAAGTTGATTTGAAAAGTTAAGTTTAACTTAACTTTTTAACTAAAATTCAAGTAAACACAGTCATTTATTTGGAAGAAAATATACGTCAATCTATTTTAAGTGTTGCAATTACAAAATTTCCATCCTTATGCATTTCACGTTTGACATTTGTCTTCAAAGTTCCAATGACATGTTTTGTGAAGTCAAAATATGAGTTTGCGTAGTACTCATTTTTCTTGATAATAATTGTAATGTTTACATCTCAGTTGTTTTACGGAATTTACCCAAAATAAAATAAGAACGAATAAATAGTCCAAGCCCAACTCGTCTTCTTGCTAGGGTGATGGCATTTGCTTTTGGATTATACAAAAGAACATCATCAACAATTTTAATCTTTGCTTTTGGATTATATTAAAGAACAACATCAACAATTTTAATAGTATGTTCAATTTATCTGACATTTGAATACCTATACAAAAGGTTTCAAGGGATTCTTTGATTCAGTTTATTTTAAAATTAATTTTTAATAACTTCTCATAACATTTTCTTTTATTTATAAATAAGCTATACTAATGAATACAGGCTAAAAGCACTAAAGCAGGATGAAACGAGCATGGTAATTCACCTTGGGTTCAAGGTATGTCATTGCTACGTTAATTTTATATTTACACAAAGGTCCGTTCGTTCATAATTCTCTCCTTTTTGTTTTAACACCATTCATATTCTTTTTTAAAAAAACATTTTTTTAGTTATAAGATAAATGTTTGAATATATAATTTAGTCTACGTGTCTTAAATTCTCAAAGTTAGTCTTTATACATATAAATGTTATTGATTTGATCATGTCACCATTAACTATCTTAATTTAATTTTTATACATGTAATACAATCTTATTTTGATCTTTATATATGTAACTTATTTTTAATATGATATTTATAAATAGAGACTAAATTAAGAATGCACTACATGTATAAAGAAAAAATTAAGAATACCTTAGTTAATTGTCAATACATGATTGCATGAATTAAACTAGTAATGATTATATGTATAAATTAATTAAATAAATTTTTATGTATAGTAACTAACTAAGAATCGCTATATATATAGGAAATAAATTACAAAATTAATTTTTAATAATAATGTGAATTTTTAAAACTATTTTCAAGAATGTAAATTTAATTCTAAAAGATATTAAAAAGTATACGAGATAACTTTTAAAGTTGAAACAAACATACTCCACATTAATTATAACTTGGACTCATTTATTTATATTTTATTGAGTAAACTATTTTTCAGAAGAAGATTCTAAAATATTAATTTAGTTTTTAAAATATTACTCAAATTAAATTCTTGAAAATTATATCTATAAAAGTTCACAAGAATTAGAAGATACTATATATTAAAATTAAATTAAATTAATGTCAAATGATGACTTAACAACCATCGTTCGAATACTAATCAATACTAATGATTTGTTGACAACTAAATCGAAATTAGTAGAAATCTTTGAAAGATCGAATATAGAATTTACACTTTTTTAACGTTATTTTCTCTCATCTTACCAAGTAAGCTAAGCAAGAAGAAAGATAATAATAGCGTAGTATTCATGATAAGGTATCACGCCGCTCTTCATAACGGAGTAACTTTTAAGCGTTTAAATCGTGTTTTTTTTTTTTTTTTTTTTTTTTTTTTTTTTTTTTCTTTCTTTCTTTCTTTTTGTAAACTTCTCGGAGCCAAACATAACTTTTGGGCGAAGGAGCTAAACAATTTTCCTACATGTTTCTTCCACACATTGCATGCTTTTGTTTTCACACTTTACACTAACCATAGTCACCGAAGAATCTAGAAATTTTAGATGATAAGTGTTCCTGCAAAGAAACACTCCTTCTGCAATCCTTCCTTCTTAGCCTTCCAAGTCTCCTATCTGACCGAACACCGTCTTTTAGAGATGGGGAGGGTACCTGCAAAGGCACTCCGACGATCAAGTAAGTATTCGGTATGGAGCAATTAATGCTGTTAGGTGGAATAAAGTCATACCTCATTTAAGTCTCATCACCTGTGTATTTATAGCGACGTGTGTGGGTCCAGGGGGACCTTCTGTCTTGGGAATGGGTAACAGTGAGATTAACCTTAATCTTTCTTAATCATGCAGGATAACCATTGTATAATGAGCATCTAATTTGCCACATGGTTCGAGTGAGTTTACTTCAGTCAAGCTTAAGGCTGATGAGGTATTCGGCCTGACCCGAGGCCGAGATGGTGTTCGGCCTAGCTCATGGCCGAGATGGTGTTCGGCCTAGCTCCTGACCGAGAAGGTATTCGGCCTAGACCACAGCCGAGATGATGTTCGGCCTGGTCCATGGCTGAGATGGTGTTCGGCCTGCTCCATGGCCGAGATGGTGTTCGGCCTGCTCCATGGCCGAGATGGTGTTCGGCTTGGTCCATGGCCGAGATGGTGTTCGGCCTGGTCCATGGCCGAGATGGTGTTCGGGAGTTCCCAATGTTGCCTCTGGACGAAGGGGTGTGGTTGGTTTTGTCGTTTTCGGGTTTTGACCGAGTCAACGGGGTGCTAACTGGTACACTGCCCCCCCAAGCCCGAGGATGAAAGACGAAGGGGTTTGTGATGGTTTGGTCTAGTTTTTTAGGGTTCCTGTACATGTCTCGGGGGCCGCAACCGTCCATGATAGCGACCCCTCCATGCGTAGCCGCCCTTGGGGCACGAGCTCATAATTAACGTCTCTTCATTTTCATGTTATTTAATGAGGGGCTTTTGGGATTCCGGGGGGTTTGCCTATATAAATGGTGGTAGGGTCAAGGGTTTTTCACGCGTTTCCTTGTGTTGAACTTGTCTGAACCGAGACCTTCGTCGTCTATTTCCCCGAGAGGTTCGTGTGAAAAAGGTAGTTTTTAGATTTCCATTTTCATGGCAACCGAGCCGATTGATTTGTCATCTGGGTCGTCGTCTAATACTAGGGTATTGTCGTTCGATATTGAGGCCGAAGTGTTGGCATTCAATACCGAAGCAGAAATGGGGAGTGATCATGTGGCTGGGCCGAGCGGTAGCGAGGTTAGCTCGTCCGAGTCGGACACTCCGGATGCCGAGATGAGTCGTCAAGATTATAGGCAGAAATTTCCTCCTTGTGACCTTCCTGGGTATGAGTGGGTTGATGGCGAAGTAGCCGCCTATAACTCACGCTTTCACTCTAGGAGTGCCGTAGAACACCTTAACAATGTGTGCACTTTGGCTCGGTGGGAGAATTTAGATCCCTATCCGGCAAAGTTGCGCCGGTGCCGGGCCGAAGGCCCTGGCCCCTTAGATTATGTTTTCCTTGCCAAGCGAGAGGACGAGGGTGACTTTTTCTATATGTACGAGTGCCTTTTCCGGGAACTTGGTGTGTCGCTCCCACTGGATGACTTTCAGATGGGTGTACTTAGGGTGTTAAACGTGGCGCCGACCCAGTTGCACCCGAATGGGTGGGCGTACATGCAAGCTTTTCGGGTGTTGTGTAAATACCATTATATAGAGCCTAGTGTAGGTTTGTTTTTGCATTATTTTTGTACACGTCCATCAAATAAGTATGTGAAGTGGTTGTCACTTATTCGGCACGCCGACCGGCCATTGATGAGGCCCTATACGTCGTCTTTTAAGGGATTCAAGTCAGGGTTTGTGAAGGTGATGATCGACCCTGTGGTCGGTCAAAATTACTTCTTTGATTCCGAGCAGAAGCCGTTGTTTCCTTTTTATTGGACAAGACAGGCTCGGAAATATGATGAATTTCCCTTGGAGATGTTAACCGAGGCCGAGGTGTCGGCCTCAGAACTTTTGAATGGATTACCCCAAGGGATTCCGGCTCGGTTCCTTGTTTTGTTGCCCAAATCCAATCGGCCCCGATTCGAGTTAGAGGGTACGTCCCGAATTTTCTCTTTCCTCTATTCTGGTTAAGTTGATGTGTGACTTTTGTTTTTTGACAGGTTGGATGGCTCAGCAAGGCGCCGGCGTTTCTTATCGGCAATTGATGAGGAGTCGCGCTCCAGCCGGCTCAACGGCCGAAGCCCATAGACAAGTGGCCATCGATCAACCGCCGAACACTATGGCAGCACCGGTCCCTCCTCCCCGTGTGATTGCCCTTCCCGATTCACATGGGAAAAAGAGGAGGGATAAGGGAAAAAGAAAGGCCGATGCCGTTGCAACAGACACCAATCGGCCTAAACAACGCCGGACCGAGTCTTCTTCTGATTTGGCAATTCCTTCTGCCATTGTTGCCAAGGATTTTTTGTCCGAGGAGATTCGGCCGGCCCGAATAATGTCGTCGGACTTACTGTCGGAGCAGGGTCATCGGATGCTGGATTCGGCAAGTCTTTCCGCCAAATGGGCCATGGCGTGCGAGTTGCAGGTTCGGACGATGGCCATACTAAGAAAGTTGGCCTTAGAGCCCATGGCCGACGTTCACAACCTGCAAAAGAACTTGGAGGAGACCAAGTCGGCCTTTCAGCAGTCAGTCGAGGCCCATGAGGCTACTTCGAACGAGAAGTACGCCCTTGAAGCCGAGGTAGCTCGCTTGAAGGAGGCCTTGGGTGAAATGGAGGGCCGGGCGATTGCTGCTGAAGAGGCCGAGCAGGCTAGGGCCCGGGAAATGCAAGAAATTTTGCGTCGGGAGGAACAAGCGAAAGCCGACGCCGAAGCTGCCATGACGACCTTCCGCACCGACTGTGAGAATCAGGTCGTCAAAGAGCACGAGGAAGGCTTCTGGCATGCCGTTCGGCAGGCCGTGCACTTTGGTACCTTTCCTCCCGGCTTTTCTTTTGACCTAAGCAAAGATTTTTTCCAAGGTCAATTTCTTGATTTCGCCGAGGCCGATCCCGATGCCGAGCCCGACCAAGTTGCTCCTCCTCGATCGGCGGAGGCCGAAGATCCTAGCACAACAGTAAACGATGACGAGGAGACCGAGCAGACCGAACAGACCAATAACGCCGATTAGGGGTGCTTCTGCTTTTTGTTTTTTGATCCATACATCTGTTTTGTTTAAGATGTAAAGACTTAGGGTATACTTTTGTTTTTTGATAGGCGGATTGAGCCTTTTACTTGTACCCTTCGGCCGATAGTGCCGCTTTTAGCCTTTTGGCTTTGTTAATGAATTGTTCTTTCTTACACTTGTCTTGCTTATTTGTTGCTTCTCTTTGTGAATATGAAGTTTGTGTTGGAAATTTGGCTCGGATGCGAACGAATTTTGTTTATTTTACAAGTTTATGGTAACCGAAAAGGTTACCGTCCGTTCATTCAGACCTTTAAAATGATTGCCATCTCGCATGTTCCCACTTAGCCGACTAGGGACACGAGAATAGTTTGTTCATCCTTGGCCGAACTAGAGTGTTCGGGAGGGATTGGATATGTCAACCTTAGCCGACCTAGAGTGTTCGGGAGGGATTGGAGATGTCAACCTTGGCCGACGTAGAGTGTTCGGGAGGGATTGGATATGTCAACCTTAGCCGAACTAGAGTGTTCGGGAGGGATTGGATACGTCAACCTTGACCGAGATTGTGTCTCGGGAGGGAATTTGTTTGTCAACCTTAGCCGAACTAGAGTGTTCGGGAGGGATTGGATATGTCAACCTTGGCCGATCGAGAGTGTTCGGGAGGGACTTTGCTCAACCTTGGCCGAGAGGGTATCTCGGGAGGGATTGCCTTTTTACTCGTGTCTTAACATAAATGGATGAAAAGAGTTTGTTTCATTGATATGGTGCCTCGTTAAAAACCTTGTCAGGAAAACCTCTTTTCACGTTTTTGTAAGAGGAGAAAACCTGAAAAAGGAAAAGAGTGCACCGAAACATAATTACATGGTGTAGGCTAACTAAAATAATGCTTTAAATGTGTTGCGTTCCATGTCCGAGGAATAGACTTTCCCGAGAGTTCTTCTAGCTTGTAGGCTCCGTTCTTCAAATTATGCATTATGCGAAAAGGGCCGTCCCAATTGGGTGCGAGTTTGCCCTGAGATTTATCTTTTCTTGCTTCTCCGGTGACTCGCCACACGAGATCCCCGGCTTGAAACTCCCTCAGTTTCACCTTAGTTCGAATTTTCTTTGCCATCCTGGTTCGGCAAGCCTCCATGTTCACCCATGCTTGATCTCGAGCTTCGTCCACCAAGTCCATCTCAATATTGAGTGTTTCCCGGTTGCTTTCCTCGTCAAACTGGGCTCGTCTGAGAGAAGGTTCTCCCACCTCAACTGGGATCATTGCATCAGTGCCGTAAGTTAATCGGAATGGGGTCTCCTTAGTTGAACTTTGGGGTGTGCATCGATACGCCCACAAGATTTCGGGTAGGTGGTCCGGCCACGTTCCCTTAGCCTGTCCGAGACGTCGTTTCAACTCTCTGAGAATAACCTTATTCGCTGCCTCGGCCTGACCATTGGACTGGGGGTGTTCCACAGAAGTCATTCTATGCTTGATTCCAAGTCCGTCCAAGAATTCATTGAAGCGTCGATCGGTGAATTGCAGTCCGTTGTCCGTGATCAAGGCGTGGGGGATCCCAAACCGAGTTATAACGTTTTTCCAAAAGAATTTTTGTATGTTGTTGGCCGTTATGGTGGCCAATGCTTCTGCTTCGATCCATTTGGTGAAATGGTCGATGGCCACAACAAGGAACTTGACTTGCGCTTTGGCAGGTGGGAAAGGTCCGAGTATATCCATTCCCCAAATAGAGAACGGCCATGGAGCTTGGATGGAGTGCAAATCTTGTGGTGGTTGATGCGTCAGTGGTCCAAATTGTTGACATGGTTTGCACCGCCGAACAAATTCGGCGCAATCTGCCACTAAGGTCGGCCAATAGTACCCAGCGCGGATGATTTTGGCCGCGAGGGTTCGGCTTCCCGAATGAGTTCCACATATGCCCTCATGAATTTCCCTAAGAACGTAATGCGCCTGCTCAAGATCAAGGCATTTCAAGAGGGGTGAGGAAATGCCTCTTTTATATAGCTCTCCGGCAATCAGTGTGTACCTCGCGGCAACAACCCTCAGTTTCTTAGCCTCGAGGGGGTCTTTGGGTAATTCTCCGGTTTGGAGGTGGCTCTTTATGGGGTCCATCCAGCAAGGGCTTCCGTGACCGACTTGCATGCATTGGCTTTCCTCTATACTTGGGCTTGGTAGTTCTTGTTGTATCATACTGCGCAAGTGACTTATCTTCTTGCTACTAGCCAGCCTAGCCAACTGATCTGCCCTTGTGTTAAGCTCCCTGGGCGTGTGTTTAACTTGGACATCTTCAAAATGTTCTTTTAATTTTTGGAAAGCATGATAATACAACAACAAGGTTGGCTCCTTGATTTGGAAGGTGCCGTTGACTTGTCCGGTTACCACTTGTGAATCACTCCAACACTGTATTTTGGTGACGCCCAAGTCTTGTGCCAATCTCAGACCTGCTAATAAGGCTTCGTACTCGGCTTGGTTATTTGATGTTTTGAAACCGAACCGCAAGGATTGTTCAACGGTCACTTGGCCCGGTCCTTCCAAAATAATGTCGGCCCCTCCCCCTTGCTGGTTTGAAGATCCGTCGACGTGTAGGGTCCAAGGGTGAGGTTCAACCAGTATTTGGGGCGTGAACTCATTTACAAAATCAGCCATGCTTTGTGCCTTGATCGGCCCTCTCGGCTCGAAGCGAATGTCAAACTGAGACAGCTCGATAGACCATGCAACCATTCGCCCTGCCAGCTCTGGTTTGCGCAGGACTTTAGTTATTGGACTATCTGTCCGGACAAGCATCCGATGGCTCTAAAAGTAGTGTCGGAGACGCCGGGAGGTGTGTACTAGGGCTAACACCGTTTTCTCGAGATGCTGATACCTCGTTTCGGCGTCTTGTAATACTCGGCTAACGAAGTATACCGGGTGTTGTTCCGTATTCTCCTGGATTAGGACCGTGCTGATAGCTTTGTCCGACACTGATATGTAGATTATCATGTCCAAATGAGGGTTCGATTTAGCCAATAACGGTGGTGATGCGAGTATGGTCTTGAAGTTTTGAAAAGCTGACTCGCACTCTTCATTCCATTGAAATTTGGTGGCCTTTTTCAGCATAGTCATTATGGGCCGGGACTTCTCAGCCATACAAGGAAGAAAACGAGCCAACGAAGCGATGCGACCGGCAAGTCGCTGTACTTCCTTTATGTTGCGCGGACTCTGCATGTTGATAATTGCTTGACACTTGTCGGGGTTGGCTTCAATCCCCCTCTTGGTTAACATAAAACCCAAGAATTTTCCACCGGTTACGCCGAAGGTGCACTTTGCCGGATTCAGACGCATGTGATGTCGTCTTACTTCGTCAAAGATAGTGCCGAGGTCCTTCAAATGGCCTTCCGCCGAGGTGGATTTGATCACCATGTCGTCAACATACACCTCTAAACAACTCCCTATCTGGCGGCGAAAGACCTTGTCCATGAGCCTTTGATAGGTGGCACCAACGTTTTTTAATCCAAATGGCATCACCTTATAGCAAAAATTTGCCGTGTTTGTTATGAACGCTGTCTTTTCTTCATCCGGTGGATACATTGGGATTTGGTTATATCCCGAATAGGCATCCAAGAAACTCAACCTTTGATGGCCGGCCGCCCCATCGACCAGAGCGTCGATGTGGGGCAAAGGATAAGCGTCTTTCGGGCATGCTTTATTCAGGTCTGTGTAATCTGTGCACATCCGCCACTTCCCGTTCGGTTTCTTGACCATCACTACGTTGGCCAACCAAGTGGAATACCTCACTTCCCTTATGAATCCCGCTTCCAGTAGCTTGTCTGTCTCTTCTTTGATTGCTTGAGCCCTTTCTCCTCCCATCTTTCTTTTCTTTTGGGCCACGGGTTTGGCATCTCGACACACCGAGAGTCGGTGGCAATGAAAACTAGGATCAATGCCTGGCATGTCTGCTGCAGTCCATGCGAACAAGTCCGAGTACTTGCGTAAGACCTGCTTAATCTCTTTAGCCTCTACGTCGGGTAGTTGGGAGCTCAAAAATGTAACCTGTTCTTCGTTTTTTCCTAGTTGAAACGGGATAGTTGTTTCCACAGGTTCGACTCTGTCTTCCTCCCCCAATCTCGGATCAAGGTCTAGGCTCATTAATTTCTGCTGGCCAACGTCGCCGATAACGTTTACATCTTGCCTTTGCTTCGGGGTTGGTTCTACTTTCAGGCTAGCAAAGTAGCATTCACGCGCGGTCTTTTGGTCGGCGTGTACGGTGATGATAGTTCCTTCTTCCGACGGAAACTTCATAGCCAAATGCGGGGTGGAAACAATGGCGCGGAGCTTGTTCAAAGATGGTCTCCCCAACAGAATATTGTATGAAGTGTTGGCATGCACCACCACATATCGGACCTTAATCCGCCTGCGCTGGTCCTCTCCGAAATACGTGTATAGGTCTATGGTTCCTCAGGTATCCACTCGTTCACCCGAGAAACCTACCAACGGCTCGTCATAAGGTGTCAACTCCTGTTCCGGTATTCCTAACTGTTCGAAAGTCTTCCAGTACAAGATGTCGGCTGAACTCCCCTGATCAACTAACGTCTTTCTTACTATACAATTGTTGATCTCGACGCTGATGACCATCGGGTCGTCTTGTACAGGGTCGATGCCCTTGAAATCTCGATCGGTGAAGGTTATGGGGGGCATACGAATGGGCGAGGCTCGTCCTATCGCATTGATCGACTTGATGGCCCTCAAGTGCCTCTTTCGGGCCGAGGACGAGCTTCCACCCCCTGCGAAGCCTCCGGCAATTGTGTTTATGACCCGCCTAGGGTGATTGTGGTCTCGCGGGTCATTCCTATCACGGGATCTGCTGCGTTCACGGGATCGGTTCCGTGGAGGTACCCGATCTCGGTGGCTCCGCTGGTATTCTTTGGCAGGGCGATATTCGCCCCTCTTGTTGTCGGTCGATCGGACGAAGTTTTGTAGGTGGCCAGCCTTTACAAGATCTTCGATGCGATCCCGGAGAGCGGAGCACTCTTCGGTTGTGTGCCCCCTATTCCGATGAAATTGGCATGCCTTTGTTTTATCAGCTCGAGGAGGGGTCATTGCTCGTCTTGGAACGGCCAATACTTCAGTGGTTAACGCTTGTTCTAGTACCTTGGTTCTGCTGGCGTTGAGTGGCGTGTACTGTATGTACCTTGGCCCTCTGCTGCCTTTGTCGCGGTCCGTTGAGTCGCGGTGGCGGGGTCTGATTGACTCCTTGTCACTTTCTCTTTTAGCGAGGAACAGGTCGGGTCGGTTTTGACTTCGAAATTCTGCCAATTCCTCCATTTGCATATACTTCGTGGCTCTCTGCCGTAAGTCATCAAGGTCCTGAGGTGGCTTTTTGCACAGGCTATTAACAAATGGCCCGGGTCGTAGCGATGTGGTTAGGTGATGCATGGCCACAGCCGGGTCCAAATTGCGGATAGATAGGGTCATCCGTCCGAACCTCTCCATGAAGGTCCTTAAAGGTTCCTTCCTCTCTTGGCGAATGTTGACCAATGCTATAGATGTGAGCTGATGTGGCCGGCTCGTGGCGAACTGTATCACGAAACGGGAAGATAGAGTTGCAAATGAGTCTATAGATCCGGGAGGGAGTCTCGTGAACCAATTAAGCGCCGGACCTTTCAAGGAAGTAGGGAAGACTTTGCTCAGGATCGCGTCGTCATCAGTGTACAATCCGACCTGCGTAACGAACGCATCGAGGTGTTCTTCTGGATCGGCGGTTCCATCATACTTCTCCAGGGTCAAGTTTTTCCAATTGTCGGGTAAACGAGCCCCGGCAATGTCGGGTGTAAACGGTGTCTTTCCCTGTCTTCTTTGTTGATCTTGCGTTGTGGTGGTCGGCACACCCGATGGCCGGGGGGTATTAACCTCCTTGTACCATCCTGAGGATTCGCCATGATCCCGGGTTGATTGATTTTGTCCATCGTGCGTAGGCTGCCACGTCCTGTTATCGCTTCTTAGTTCGGCATTCTCTCTTCTTAACGCGGACAGCTCGTGTGCGTCTTTTTCTCGGAGCCTCCTAAGTTCCATCATTTCGGCCTTTAGCTGTTCGAGAGCCGATGAGGGATTAGGTTGCTGAGACCGATCCACGTACGATTCTTCCATTCCATCCTCGTTCTGGTTAACTTGCCGCCGGGGAATGTCCTGCGGCATCCCGAATGGGTATTCTGTTACGTTCTCCAGGTGACTCCTAGTGGTTACCATCCTGCTTCGGGGTCGAGTACCGTTTTGGTTTCGGCCCCACGGTGGGCGCCAAAATGTTCCTGCAAAGAAACACTCCTTCTGCAATCCTTCCTTCTTAGCCTTCCAAGTCTCCTATCTGACCGAACACCGTCTTTTAGAGATGGGGAGGGTACCTGCAAAGGCACTCCGACGATCAAGTAAGTATTCGGTATGGAGCAATTAATGCTGTTAGGTGGAATAAAGTCATACCTCATTTAAGTCCCATCACCTGTGTATTTATAGCGACGTGTGTGGGTCCAGGGGGACCTTCTGTCTTGGGAATGGGTAACAGTGAGATTAACCTTAATCTTTCTTAATCATGCAGGATAACCATTGTATAATGAGCATCTAATTTGCCACATGGTTCGAGTGAGTTTACTTCAGTCAAGCTTAAGGCTGATGAGGTATTCGGCCTGACCCGAGGCCGAGATGGTGTTCGGCCTAGCTCATGGCCGAGATGGTGTTCGGCCTAGCTCCTGACCGAGAAGGTATTCGGCCTAGACCACAGCCGAGATGATGTTCGGCCTGGTCCATGGCTGAGATGGTGTTCGGCCTGCTCCATGGCCGAGATGGTGTTCGGCCTGCTCCATGGCCGAGATGGTGTTCGGCTTGGTCCATGGCCGAGATGGTGTTCGGCCTGGTCCATGGCCGAGATGGTGTTCGGGAGTTCCCAATGTTGCCTCTGGACGAAGGGGTGTGGTTGGTTTTGTCGTTTTCGGGTTTTGACCGAGTCAACGGGGTGCTAACTGGTACAATAAGATTAATATTTATTTTTATATTTATAGTATTAAAATTTTTATATATAACTCTTAAAAGTATAAATATATATAATAATTATGTATTATAAGTTTTTATATTTATGATTATGATTAGGGGTGAAAAAAAATATGTTAAATTAGATTATGTTATAATTTAGTAGATCTAAACTTAATTTTTGTTGAAAATATATATTTTAAGTATGATTTATTTATCTGTTGTAGACATGTTTTAAATGTTTGGTTAGAATTACAATTTTAAAGGCCTACTTTTTAATAATTTAACACCAATAAAAACATAAAAATAAATATGTTAAATTTTATAAAAATCAAGTTTAATTTATTTATGATACAAACATGTTTTTAATATCTAATATAATTTTTAGATGATACTTTATTAAAAACATATTTTATAATAAGAATTCTAAATAAAACATAAATCTTACAATCTTTATTATTTTATTTTATTTTAATCAACGTATACAATAAATAAAAAGCACAAAAGATAAATATACATGTTGCAAATTTTATTTTATCAAAAATTGATTTTTTAATATATTATATTATATATGTGAATATTTTTCGTCACATACGAGAACTAATTTCTTTCAAAAATTTGACAGACATCAAATAAATAGACATCTCTTCTGAATTTAAATTTTATACATACGATAATTTAAACATATATGCTTATTTAATTAGAATATAACTTTTTTTAAAAAAATATATTATTTATTTGGATAAATAGTATGTATGCGTAAAATGGTAGAGGAATAAGTGCGCCCCCACCGAGTTTCATAAAGATTTGTCCTTGATAATAGTCATAGTGCAAAGGAATTTTGTATTATAATATAATTATAAATAGTCATATATATATATATATGACATTTTTATAATAATTTAATAATTATATTAATAATAGTTTTTAATAGATTATGTTCTAACTAAAATTGGATAATTTTGGATACCAAACTTCCTAATCTCTTTACGTATAGGTTTCATGTCTGATCTTGTCTCCAATCTCTACTTCTAAGTTGTTGGCAATGAGGGAAGAGTACTTGCAAAAAGGACTTTGACAATCAAGTTAGTTCGTGGATATCTTAATCTAATGTATATAAAAGTATCTTGTATTTTGGTAACTGTTTCTTGATGACCGCTTTCTATATGATTTCGTACGTGCCTTTATATTGGCTAAAATTAGTCTATTTTATTTCATAGATTGGCTGATCACTCCCTTTCATCTTATAAATTGACTAATATGACTTTATAGGTTGACTGACCTAATATACCAATTGATAATTTTATTGTTATAGGTTGCCGATTCCAATCTTATAAGTTGGTAAGTCCAACCTTATAGGTTGACTAATATAGTGTTTATCTATTGGGTTTGTCAAAAATAACTAAGTTAATTTATCTGAGATCATTTTGTTAACTTATAAGATTGACTAATAATATTCATATTTGATTTGTTAGGTTAGGGTTATATTGTCCAACCTTATAAGTTGGTTGATTATATTGTCCAACCTTATAAATTAGTTGATTATATTGTCTAACCTTATAGATTAGCCGGTACAAATTGATAATATAAAGATAATTTTTGATAAAAAAAATTCTCTTTTCACCACTACTAGTTAAGTATTTGTGCCAACTGATCCACATATTTGTAAGTAGTGTAAAATTATTTATAGATAAAAAATTTAAATTTCTTTAAATATAATAATTTAATTTGAAGTCTATTGTCATATCATATATTTTGTCAATATCAATTGAGATACTCTTTCCATTTTTTTTGTTTGATATTTAAGGTTTATGCACAAGAATTAAGAAAATTATTGATATTTTAGTTTTTCAAAGTATTTATTACTTATTCTTTTTATATACCTTTTAGGTGGTTAGAGAAGAAATAAATATATTAGAAATGAATAAACACATTGTTCAGTAAACACGCATTAATTATCAAAGATAAAAATAAAAAAATTAATAAGTTATCAATTTTAAAAAAGTAACAATGAAAAAAAAAAATAGTGTGAAAATGACTATAAAAAAAATGAAGGGAATATCTTTTAACAAATATAATCAAAATCAAACTTTATTTTTCTTAAAAAAGTATTCTCCATTTAACAGCTAGAAAACTAACCTATTACAAATTTAAGAGACTAGAACTTTATATTTTTATAATTAAAAAATTAAATATCTTTATTTTAAGATTAAAAAATTAAAATTACAGATGAAAAAAATAAAGTTGAACCTAAATATAATTAATCAAGCAAGTGAGTACGAAAAAAAAAAGTAATGGAGGGATTGAGGGAGAATATATATATAAATTAAAAAACCGATGAGAAATAAAAGAATTGAATAGAGCAGAATCAAATTTATTAATTAATAAAAAGATAAGAAACTTCTCGGACGAAATGGTATCCCGCGTGAAAAAAGGAGATTACGAATTGATTCAATTGATTTAGGTTAGAAAGAGGATGAGTTTCTCCCAAAAACACCTTTCTCCCTTCCACGAAAGGAACGCAGAGAGTAGTTGCTTCCTTCAGCAATGTTGTCAATGCGCATTCTCATTCTGCACTGCACGTTCCATTAAATTAAATAATTCAAGTGCCCCAACCCAAACTAATCCCGCTAGGTCATAATTGCACGGGACCCGCACATGATTACAATTTCATAATTCATAATTCATAATTCATTTTTATTTTCCTGCTCCAATCTCCGAATCCTAACCGTCACTTCCAACTTGCAACGGTTATCCTCCGCCGCCACACCGGAGGCGCGAAACGACACCGTTATGGGCATGGATTACTACAACATACTGAAAGTGAATCGCAACGCCAGCGACGACGATTTGAAGAAGGCTTACAAGAGGCTGGCTCGCATATGGCACCCTGACAAGAACCCCGACAACAAGACCGAAGCCGAGGCCAAATTCAAACGAATCTCCGAAGCCTACGACGTCCTCAGCGACCCTCAGAAGCGCCAGATCTACGATCTCTACGGCGAGGAGGCGCTCAAGTCCGGCCAGGTCCCGCCGCCGCCGCACTCCTCCTCCTCCTCCTCCTCCCGCGCCTTCCACCACCACCGCCACAACCCCCCGCCGTCCTTCCGCTTCAACCCGCGCGACGCTGACGACATCTACGCCGAGTTTTTCGGCCCCGACGACGCCGCCGCCTCCGCCTCCGCCTCCGCCTCCTCCCGCCGCGACGCCTTCTTCCGGACCTCCAACGCGTTTGGCGGCGGCGGCGCCAGGAAGGCCGCCGCGGTGGAGAATACGCTCCCGTGCAGCTTGGAGGAGCTCTACAAAGGCGTCAAGAAGAAGATGAAGATCTCCAGGAACGTCTTCGATGCTTTTGGGTAAATCTGACTCTAATCTTTGACCTAATTTAACCTAATGTTTCGCTTATTGTGTGTTCAATGGTTGGTACTTGGTTAATTAATAGTCCAGGGATGCGTTTCGGTGAAACTAATTTTCAACCGAAAATGAAGTACATTGAATAGTTGAATCGGTTTTAGCGTGCTTTTTAAGTGCACATTTTTTAGTTTTTACCCACTCAACCACTTGGGTTTGCCTTAGCTGTAAGTTCTGGAGTTGTGGTTTAAAATTTCAAATTCTGTTTTATGACATTGAAGTCACAGGCCTTTAGGTTAGCGTTTACCGACTAGACTTGGCCTCGTGTACCTTTTGACTGAATAGACTTAACTGTAGTGGTTGCTGAAAAACTTTTATGTTTGGTTGTTTATGAAGTCCACATCTTTGACTGTCTAGGGAATATGACTTCATGTTTTTGTTTCCTTCCTTTTACTTTTGACAATATTCACTGTTTTCTCATGTAGTGTGTCTGGAAATACGTTTTGAACGTACGTATTCTTTAATTTTTTTTCACGTCAGTTTGTAGGATTGATATATAGAAGCTAAAGATGATTGCTCCTTAAAAATCACGTCACATTGTGTTTGAAATGGTTTCCAAAGAGGCTGTAATATCACCTGTCTATGCTTGGGTCATTTATCGTTTTATATTTGAGTGGGAAGATATGGCAGGGTTTATTGATTTACCCTGAAACTAAGGGCTGAAGTGAGCTTCGTGGCTTTGAGGGGATGATGTCAGATTTGATATGGGGGATTGTGCATAACATAAGTATGAATGCCACAATATATTTGTTAGCTAGTTTAAGAAATACTAGTGGTTATGCTAATGGGCCTGCAACTGATTAGGCCCGTTGAGGAATGGCTTTTGTTAGCAGACCAGTTGCTGTGTATAAATTGGAAGAGGGGTGAGAGGGATTTGATCTTGTCATCTGCGAGAGTTTGTGGTATTTGGGCATTGGGAGGTGTAGACCGTCGAAGTTCCACAAGTTAAGCTCTGTATTGAGGGGATAAATCTCTTGTTCTTTCTAATAAGATATACCTAGTTTCTATTAGAATCTATACAATGTCAGTCTTGGAAGAGCAAATTTTACCAGTAAGCAGAAATTTTTCATGGGCGATTTCTTTGACAACATAAAATAATTTCATGATTGTCTCTTAATATGTTTCTAGTTTATTAATGGATAAAAAGATGTCTTTCTAAGTGTTAGGTATAACATATCACAGAAAGTTGTTTTCACTCACATCTTGGAATCCTGTGAGTATTCATTTTTTATGCTTGACATTATGGACATGATAAATTATCGTGAAAGGGAATGCAGTAAGATATGCATCTTATGCTTGTCAGTAAGTGGCAGGTAATGAGTGCCAGCCATGCACACTTTGCACTTCAGCTGGACAGTCTGGACCTACTTATTATAGTGCTTAATTATGTTAAGATTATCTGCTATCAGGACTGCCTTAGCATTTGGTCAGTGTTTTGATTGAGAGACAAATACTTGGTATTACTTGCAGTTGTCTTGATCAAAACCCGTTGCCATAGTGTTCACTTATATAATGAACTTTAGGCTTCCACGCTAAGATTTCAAAAAAATAATTTCATCACCCTCTTTTTTCACCACCCTGTTTTTTATTTGCCTATCCTTGTTAAACAATTCATAAGGGCACACCCGTGAAGGTATGGAATCTAATGGTTTATGTACACAGTTCATTTGATTTAAAGATTAACTCTGAACATAATCAAGGGACAGATTTTAAATTTGCCATCAATTATGATTTTTGGTCTCATCTGCTGCTTGAGAATGTCACTGATATTTTAAAACAATCAGATGAATGTTAACATGAAAGTAAGACAATTAAGAAGGCTGTTTGGTATGTCCTCTATCTTTATTTGAAGTTGATATCCCTTAATAATTACGAAAATGTCATCATGTATCTATTGTGCTTTATGTTTTCAAAATTTTGTGAAGGAAATGGGGAAAATAAAAAAAAATGTTTACTTTTACCATTTCATTCCCAAAATTTTGTAAGCAAGAAGAAAGATGAATACAATGTTAAATTGTAATTATTTATGAAAACATGTGAATTGAAAATGAAAACCAAAATCAAACCAAACACCCTGGTAAGTTAGTATTTAGTTGATGACTTTCTTATACCATATAATATATTGGTTCATAATTCATAAGTGAATAAATGTAAACCAGGAGATTTCTGCTTAATCATTAAAATATGGGAGCCAGAATATCAAGTAAAATTTTAACTAAAGTATATTCATTTCAATAAATATGAAGTGATTAAATTGATGCCTGCTTCTGCATATGTTTTTCTTACCTATTTGAAATGACTTGAAACTATGTTGTGCGTTTTTTAGTCATCATGGAATTTAACTTGGTTTGGTTGACATGGAAACCTTTTTCATAATAAGTCAGCTTGCTAAATAAATCTGTTTTAGTGCATTTGCATTGGAGTTAATCACAAAGATATAGATGCAATATAAGGTTTACATTGCATGGACCAAGAATATGATATCCGTGTTAATTTCAAGTAGTGATTTAGATTTTGTAACCAAAAAACGATTAAAAATGTGCCCAATGAGAGGTAGATGGTGTGTCATGGCTCAACAAGTTTTAGTCACACGAACAGCCTATCTATTTGCCCTCTAGTGCAAGATTGCATATACATGTAACCCTCCCCTAACTTCACATTAATGGGATCCTCGTGTATTAGACTGCTTCCTTTTTTATGCCACTCAAGGTATCATTTAACCTTTGTGTATCATGTTCAATACTGCCTGAGTCTTGGCAAATTTTGAAAGCTACAGGATTTGTATAGGTTAAGATACTTTGAGTTAAATAATAACAAATTTTTATATGGTTATGAATTTTCAAGTTTGATAAGATAATTGATATACAAGACGAATCAACTATTTATTTCTCATTACATTACAAATCGGCTATTTAATCAAGTACAAGTGTACAACATATTCTTGAAAGTTTAACTACTAGAAATGCTAATTGTATCTGTCACAGTTTGGGCTATACTTTATATGTTAACACTTTAAAGTCAGCTTATTTCTTGACCATGATAAAAAGGTGCCAATTTATTTTGTTATGAAACTTGTTTGCATCAATTTGAAACTATGGGGTACATTATTGCAGTTTAAACTTGAGCGCCAAAGTCAAACTCAGCTGAAACTAAAGGGACTAAAGTGTAATTAAGCTAGCTTCTTTTCTTTTTTCCTTTTCTTATGGTTGTAGGTGATGATTTGATTAGCCTATTATAGTTTTTCAACAGTAGGCGTCTCCAGTACCCTGATTTATCGATCTAGCCACAGGTCTTCTAAAATTCAAATATGAAAGTTGCAGAGTATTTCGAAAATTGCAATATGATACCTATTAGTTAGTTGAAACAGGAAAAAAATTGCCTTGTTTATACTGACAGCATTAGGAAATATTATGCTTTGGTTCTTTTACGCATGAGAAGTGGATATTTGTGTTTGTTGACACATGCAATTCCATTTCAGCAAATCTCGGAATGTGGAGGAGATTTTGACTATTGAGATAAAACCTGGCTGGAAGAAAGGAACAAAGATTACCTTCCCAGAGAAGGGTAACCAGGAGCCTGGTGTCATCCCAGCAGATCTTATTTTTGTGGTAGATGAGAAACCACATGCTCTTTATAGAAGGGATGGCAATGATTTGGTGATCAATCAGGAGATAACCCTTCTTGAGGCCCTTACAGGTAAAACGTTGGATCTCATCACCTTGGATGGAAGGAGTCTCATGATCCCGTTGACAGATATTGTCAAACCAGGTGCTGAGGTTGTTGTCTCTAATGAAGGAATGCCAATATCGAAAGAGCCTGGGAGGAAGGGGAATTTGAGAATCAAGCTTGACGTCAAGTATCCTTCAAGGCTAACTGCAGAGCAGAAGTCTGATCTGAGGAGAGTTTTAGGTGGAATCTCATAAATATTTTGAGTTTGGTGTTTTGTGTCACCGGTGAATGCACATTGTATATATATCATGTGCATTCTGTTGATGCATGTGAATTACAGGAATACTCCACGGGTTGAACTGAGTATAAAGGGCTAACATACGATGGGCCCATAACTAGACATTTGGACTTTTTTGCAGGTTAGGAAACATAAACGACTGTTTGGAAATGAGTGGAAGCGTTAATCTTAGTGAAACAAATAGGTAGGTAAATTCAACCTGGCTTCCACCTGTTTGCATCAACTTGTTTTGCCTTTTTATTAAACTCTTGCAGATTACTAGTCTTGATAGGATCACAATGAGTGTTGCTCATACCATGAAAATTGTATATATTGATTGTTTATTTATTGAAGGTTCCTTTATTGACATTCTGTTCTTTTAAAATTGGAAGTACAACACGGAATCGTGGTCTATGCTCATATATTCTGCCATAAAAACGATGTATAATCGGCAAATTTATCTTTCGATTTTTCTTCGTTGATCAAATGTTGTGCGTGTACTTTAAAAATGCATTCTCTCAAGTTCCCGTACGTTACATATCATGAACATGTAGGAACACTTTATGTATGATCTCCACCTGAAATATCGTAGCAAAGTGTATTTATATTTCTTTTCCAAGCTAGATAATCCATACTTGTGATTGTGCTTCGTGGGTGAATGATTGGCGCAAAGGAATAAGTGTGGCTCCATTGTACTTTCAATTTCTCTATTATTCAAAGCAGGGGGTTTAAATTAAGTCTTGTATGAACAAGAGAAAGCATGGTAATGGTATTGATACTCTTGCTTAGGTTAATATATTGCGAAAATTGAAGAGCCATTTGGTCCCCGATAAAATACATTGTTCAGTTCAATAGAACGTTTATTAGTGTCCAACAGTTTGAATTTTGTTTCCGCGTGTATCCTCTGAAGACAATCCTTTTTAAAAGAGTCAAAGGGCATTCTCTCCCAGTATTTGAAAATAATTTGAATGCACTTTTCTCATTTTAAATGGATAAATAAGGATTAGGCACGGCAATCTAACCCGCCTCCGTGGGTACTTGCCCAAACCCGCCCCGATTTCGATGGGAAAAACCCGTGTTTATCGTGTTCGGGTTCGGATTTTTCCCGATTGATAAAATCGGGGAGGGGGGGGGCCCGCCCCGCTTAATAATATAATTAAAAATTTATGTAATGCGGGTGTAGATATTGGATACTCAAGGGATTGATATTCAATATCCACACCTAGGCTCTTGCTCTAAGGGATTAGGTTTGAGTAAACTATTGGGTTGACTAAGCAATGAATTTAACAAGAGATTAAGGATTCATTAGTTTAACGTTTGGTGAAATCTGACCCCACAACCTCACAATACCACAATATCATTTCTAACCTTTTTCACTCACAACCAAATATTTTTATAATTTTCATTCCAGTAGTCATGATCTTTAATTCACATTCACATGACAAACTACAAATTGGAATCATTCTTTAGTCACGAATAGTCAATAAATGCTTATGTTACCTTCTAATCCCTGTGGATACGATATTTTTACTACTTGAACAGCTAGTATACTTGCCGTGTTTGAGACCGTTAATAGAATCTAACTGATTTATAGATTAAAACAAAAGTGTTTAAACGGAAATCTCAACAATTGTCCAAATATGGCCATCATTTCAGACGAAATGAAGGGCTTGGGTGATGCTGCGCGCATGGGCTCGGGTGATGCTGCGGGCGACTCCTCTAAACCAAGTGATTGACAAATATTTGTCGTCATCATCAGAACCGATGTCTCGAAACCTGGTGGGCGTGGTGGATGGTACCAATATGTGTTTTGGGAGAGGGAAGGATAAGTGTAATCCTGTGAAGGAACATAATACATCCTTTCCGGTCTGTCTAGCACTGCAGGGTATATCTGGTCCATAGCCTCAACTGGCGTTCTTCGTCGTGCTAATCATGCTGCCTCCCTAGAGGATGGAGGAACATTGAATGTCCCCATCTCATATGACTCCGAAGGAGGGGGTGCTTCCTCAGCTGGCTCAACGACACGTGCTAGATAGTCATCAGATATCGATAAAAATCGATTAGTTTGCTCTGTGACTGCCTCCAACGAAAACTCTTCTCTGCCAGCAGGGGAAGTCAAGTATGCCAAACACTCAGCTACATCTCCCTACATATACAACAAATGTCATAAATAATTAAGAACTTTATATTTATACAAAATAGTGTATTAAAATATACTTACTAAAGTACACATACCAAAACTGACTCTTTAACTTCATCTGGATCAATGTGCGGCTTCCCTTTCCTCCGGTACCATCTCATGTATTCTGAATTCGAACCTAATAGTCCGACCTGTGGAGGAGTAGGTGTGAAGTGATATGCATATCGATGACCCCAATGCTCTAATGCTGGACTTAATATTGTAGCCCAGTCATCTTCAACCTTACCGCGTAAGGTCAATGCATGCACATTTGCAGGAGTCATTGGAGGATGTGGAATTGGTTGTTGGCAACCAAATTGCCTCATCACCCTATCCGGCTGATGCCATTCACAAATACAAAGACAAAGTAAGGAGATTACAGAACCCCAAATCTGCATCCCCTATGTGCAGTCACCTGGCATCTGTTCAACAGGGGGATATGGCTGCCAAATTATCTGTAAAATATTTTTTTTAATTACAAAAATAAAATACAAATAACGTAGATAAACTTTTTTATAAAACTACAAAACGTTAATTACTTACCGATTTCCTAGTAGTACGATCAAAGTATTTGCGATAAAATTTTATATCATCGCTCATACTTATTTTGGTCCCTATGTTTGACCACCTGAAAAAACATATTATAAATAATTAAATTATGTTTTAATAACTGATTAATTGTCAAAATATAAAGTTTCAAATTTGCTCGTACCTTAAACCAATTGGACTGGCTGGAGGAATAGGTGGAAATGGCGAAGACATAATGGTTGGGAATCGTTCCCATGCCCATAACTGTAATAAAAGGGTAAATCCACGCAGCTTGGGGTTTTGTAATCGGTTGAGGTGCATAAATTCCGATACAAATATCCAAGCACAGCTGCACCCCATGCATAAGTCCTAATAATATCAAAATCGCGCAAAAACAGCAACCATCGTAAGGACACATACGATGAAGATCTATCGGGAACAAGCACTCCTCCTAGATAACGTAATATCCAGGCTCTACCATAACGAACCAAGACATCTACATCATCTATGTCATCAGCAATGTCCCCAAAGATTGCTGCCAACCAAGATAGCCTGACGCGATGTCCTTTAATTTCAGACTGCGGTGGAACAACCCCTAACAGCTCCTCAGCTGCATAAAATCAAACAAAAAATTTAACTATTATCAATATAAACAATATACTATAAATTTACAAATAATTTAAAGTCAAGTTATAATTACCCAATTCCAATATATTTGGACTGCCTCGAGATAATACCGGTTCACCGTCAACCGGAAGACCAACAAGCATGCCAACGTCTTGAAGAGTAATTGTGCACTCTCCGAATGGCATGTGAAATGTATGTGTCTCTGGTCTCCATCGCTCTACCAAAGCCGTTAGCAAACCAGGACTAACTTTGATATAATTCAGACGCGCTATCCATCCGAAACCAGCTTGATCTAGTAACGGAATTATTTGTTGTGGAACTCCTGCAATTCCAGTGGGCGTCGGAGCAGCACGTCGTGCTACTAGTCTCCTGTCTTCATCTCTGTTCCAAACATGCTGTGACACATGTATATTTTGCAACGATAATAAATCATCGTCGACTGGTCCACATGTGACACGCATACCCCTAGAAGATGATGATGATGCCATCTATAACAAAATATTATAAAATTATTTATTTTTACACACATAATTTATTATTTTAATTTCATTAACATTATATAATCTATACGAAAATAATAAATAATAACACACTAACATGATATATAATTTAAAAAAAAATCACAATAATTAATAAATTAAATAAACCAAATAAACCAATAATCTGAAATGAAAATATTATAAGGGAAAAAATAAAACTAAAAATAATAAATACCTGAGATGAGGAAATGCAGCAACAAATCCAAATAAACTAATAATCTGAAAAGAAAAAAAAATAACAGTTATAACAAATGTAAAATAAATATTATATTTAATTAATTTTTACTACCAGATTTAATAAATTTAATATCCAATAAATTAATTTATGTTTTTTACAATAATTTATTTTATAAACATTATTTTTTCACTATAAACAGATAAATAAAATAATTTAATAATTTAAATAAGTAATTATAATCATAATCCAAATAAATAATTTATATATAAATTACATTTATTACTTCAAATTAACTATTTATAATCAGAAAAAATTACACAAAATCAAAATAAATAGTTTTAAATAACAGTTATAACACTTATCAAATTATTTATTTTATAAACAATATTTTTTCAGTACAAATTATTTTGCAATTAACTCGGATTATTTATAATATTATTTACATGTATTTTTTTACTTTTTTTATTTTTTAAAAATAACTAATATAAAAGATAAATAAATTAATTTAAAAATATATAAAATTTCAAAATTAAATTAGATAACACATAAATAAAATAATTTAACACGTAATTAATATTGCATAAATAACACAGAATCCAAATAAATAATTTTAATATAAAAAATATTTATTAATTCAAATAAACCAATTATAATCATAAAAATTAAATAAATTATCAGTTAAAACCTACTTAAAACAAATATGATTAAACAGAAACAAAATACAGAATTAAAAAATAAATAACAATTATTAACTAAATAAAATATGCAAACTTAAATACCCTATAGCGACTTTTAAATATTAAAAAAAAAACCTGAAAAAAATATTTATGAGGACGGGGCGGGGAATCCCGAACCCTGCCGGGGGCGGGGATGGGGACCCAGATTTTGTCCCCGGCGGGTATCGGGGGCAGGGGCGAGGACGGTTTAAATTTGCGAGACGGGGGCGGGGAACGTAAAACTCGCCCCCGCCCCGCCCTGTTGCCATGCCTAATAAGGATATGATTTTCATTAGTTCATCAACCATTAATAAGCTAACAGCTCTGCGATCAAATCCAATCCATCAACTTAAGTAGCATTATATGTAGTAATCATATGGCACGTTGGGTGGGTAGTTCAAGCAATTTTGGGCTTGGAGTAATGGTTAAGGCCTTTGTATATTGCTTCAGCCTTCAGGTATACTTTTAGCCGAATAATTTTTGGAAAAATATTTTGGACATCTAAGAGGTGTTTACATCTTGAGGGATAGAATGAGAGGATAGATAAATGATTGGTGATATGTGTACAAGAAAAGAGAGAGAGACAATTTAGAAGTGTTTCATTTATTTAGGTGTCTAAAAGAAAACAGACCCATAATTTTTACATTTCCATGTCTATTCTCTATTTCATTTTGCTATGGATCATCACCAGGTAGTTGG